AAAAAAATATATATTCAAAGGCTCCCTCGACTGTTGTGGCCTGGCCAAACAATCCACAAATGTTGAATGAACTAAACTAAGAAAGGATAAATGTTTCATCATGAAACCATTAAAACTGTTACAAATGGCTCAGCAGCAGTGAACTGAGATTGAACAGCTCCATAATCATCACAAATGATTTAAAAATACTTACATCTATCTCTCCCTCATCAATCTCTCCATCATCTTCCTCTTTCTTTTTATCACGGAAAGAATCTCTCCTGCCTCTTTCCCGTGAGTCTTCCCTTGAGTTTCTCAGCGGCGTGTCTTTATCTGGAGGCAGAATTGGTTTTCTTTCCTTTTTCTTCCGTCTCTTCTCCTCCTCTTCGTCATCCTCTTCCTCGTCTTCTCCATCCTCCCCAGCAGGACCCTTCTCTGCATCGTCCTCCTCAGGAGCAGCAGCGCTAATCTCTTCTGGAACCTCCTCGTCATAATCCAGCTCATGTTCATCCAGATCTCTGGACACAGAAGATTCATCCTTCAAATCACTCACTACCATCGCCGCCCTCCTTCGCCTCCTCCTCTCTTCTTCCTCATCATCGTCTTCCTCAAGCTCTGCACGGCCTGGCTTGGTGTTCGGCTCATCCTCCTCGTCTCGTTCCTCCTCCGCCTGGGTGCAAGGTAGCTCGTGTTCTGGGCCCGGTGAGTCAGGATCCGGTGATCTCGGCGTCTCAAGGATTTCTTCCTCATCCTCCTCCAGGAAAGCATTCCGCCTGCTTCCTCGAACCGTCGAACCAAGGTTTTGTTGGTGGATGTCTTCCCTCTCCTCTCGGTCTATCTTGTCGTCTTCCAGGTCTGAAATATCCTCTGGATCTTCTGCACCAGTAGCTGCTCTGTCTCCATCCTCAAAATCTGAGTCTCCTCCTCCACCCTGTACTTCATTTTCATCATCATTCAAGAGCTCACTGTCTGACACTCCCTTGTCTACTTCCGCCGGGGACTCAGGCGACTCCAGCAACTCGTTGTCAGAGAGACCCTTCTCTTCCTCCTCGGGAGATTGTGGGGACTGGGTGGGGCTCTCAGGCGTATCCATCAGCAAGAACTCTGAAGTAGACATTCGAATGCAAGCCAAACAGTTAATTCAAACTTATTCAACATTGAAAACAGACAATTTATCTTCAACCCTCTACAGCAGAATTACAACACTGGCTGCAATAATATCTAACATATTTGTGGTTGTGTATACATAAAACAATGACCTGTACCACAGCAACAGTTTAGACAAGAACAAAAGAGGCTTTGCTTGCTGACACTACTGAAAACACCTTTAAAACAACTTTAGTAAAAACATATTTGGCATGTTTTTTAAAAAGAATATTACTACATTATATTCAATAATACATTTCATGAAAACATAATAAATTAAAGTCTGCTAAAAAAAAAAAAAATAGCTCCTAAAGCTCATCTGGCTAACAAACAAACAAACTAACGTTAGTGTTAAGGATTTGTCTACCTGACGGTTGACTTGATACTAAATATAAAACCATTATAAATATTCCTATTATCAACATATCAAGAAACTTAAACATATTTTTAAATGAGCTATCAATTGTAAAATTACTAAAGAAAAAGCTTTACTGTGGTGTGGAAGATATCTTATACTAAACTGCCATACATTTTTGAATGACAGTAGTGGCTGGCTAAAACAAAGTTAAGATAATATCAATGTTATTTAGGAGAAAAATATAGTTACCATGATAATTTTATGCAAATGTAGTCCTGAATATATGTAGCTCATATTAAACGAATTAATTACCTTACTAGTTCTTCCATAATAACACCTCTGACTATATTAGCCTGCTAACGTAAAATAGCTTAAACGAATTCAAACTTTAAAAATCAACTTCCCATACCACACAAAGGCCAATCATTGAATCATCTGGAACTTGTTTACCTTTTTAGATCTAAGGCAATGGATTCACGAGAGGGAGACCGACACATGTCTTACTAGCCGCTTTATCTTTAACGGGAGAGCTCGTTGATGGCGATGCGGCTAACAGGCCCGAATCCTGCCCGCACACTAGAAAACGACACCATTTCCGACATTTCCCGAACGACCGCGTCGCTTAAACGCCGAGACTCGAGCTTAAATAACACATACGTAACTTTCTAAATCTAAATGCGCGACTTACGGCGTTGCACAATGTTTCTTCGATGCGCACTGGCTAAAATCTCATGCAACAATAAAGCGTTCCCTCCTGCACAACACACGGACATCGCGTATTAAAACACATTCGGTCACCTTTCAAACCACAGAGTCTCGAGAGACGGGGTCTCGGTGTAGGGAGTCACCCGGTCTCTTTCCTTGGGGTGACTGTGCTCAAAAACTGAACGATCAGTCTGGGGTTCTTATTTTTCTCTACCGGAGAAATTCATAAACCCTGCACGACACAGTGAAAGCGGCCATTACCCAGACGTCATCAAAGCTCGACAAGATGATTTTTTGAACAGAATACAATTCAAAAAGAAATATTATAGGAGTACATTATTATTAATCATTGCTAGGAAACAATAAAAAAAAAGAAACATATTAAGTACACAATAAATAAATATACTGAGGCGTAATATCATACATACAGGAACATATTAGCCTACATAAAAAGTTGTAAAAAATAAATTAAATCAAAAGAGAAAATGAGGTTTACAGTCACCATGAAATCAAAATGGACAATTCCTAATTTTTATGAAATATTACAGTATTTATTGTAAATGATTTATCCGTGCACATAATTGTTTTTCACAAACAATTCATATTTAAAGTCACCATTAAAGCAAAATAGACTACTCTTATTTTAATGAATATTCCAGTATTTAATAACTATTATATGATTTAATGATTTGTAATAATAATAATAATAATAATAGGCTAATAATAATAATATGCCCTTCCCACTTGCAGCATCTCTTCTCTGGCGGGTTTATCTCTCTAAGATCACAGCAATAGTAAACCATAACAACTCAGCGATCCAATCAATTCCCTATAGACAAAATCAAGTCTCGCCCTACATTCAAGAATCAGCTCATTAAAGAGATAATTCACCCCAAAATGAAATTTCTGTCAGTAATTACTCACCCAAATGTTGTTCCAACCTCGTAAGACTTTCGATCATTAAAACTTGCCGGCCCAGAAAAGTTATGAAAGACATCGTTAAAATAGTCCAAGTGAGTACAGTGGCTCAATCTTAAGTTTATCAAGGGACGAGAATTCTTTTTGTGAGCAAAAAACAAAACATGTTAATTTCCTTCGCTGTGGGCCTAGAGTTATTTGACATACTGTAACAGCGCAGTGATTCAATCACACGTAGGCCCACTATTACTACTACTATCCAACGCTGGTCATGTGTGTAATGCATGTGACGTACAACACAGAATCACTGCGCTGTTACACTACGTTAACTAACTTGAGGCCCACAGAGAAGGAAATAAATAGTTGAATAAAGTCGTTATTTTTGCGCACAAAAAGTATTCTCGTCACTTGATAAACAAGATTGATCCACTGTCACTTGGACTATTTTAACAATGTCTTTAATAACTTTTCTGGACCAGCAAGTTTCAATACCTTAGAAGCCCATGGATTTCAGATTTAATAAAAAAATATCTAAATTTTTCTCCTCCTAATCTCCTCACTTTAATCTAAACGAAAGCATTCAGTAGAATTCAAATGTGTTCGATGTTTTCTGGCATGCTCCAATTCACGCAATCTGTGCTATCGTGTCTCTGGACTGGAGCACCCTGTGGCGGTTCGCGTGACACTAATGTGAAACCAGAAACCATGGAAAGCATATTTATTTACAGTGTCTGAATCATTCCCTATATCCCCTATGCATTATGTGCCATTCACCATGTAGAAAACAGTAAATGTTTGAACAAGTGACCGATTTTAGCCGGAGCTCTAACGTCTATTTATAATGTAAGGAGCGGGATGCTTTAAAATTCTGGAGAGCATTTCATTGGACAGGAAATCTGATGAGAAGCGCGTGCATGTGTCATCAAAATCATAAATCCATATTAGCAAAAGTGAGAGATACATTTTAAATGTTTACATCTTCTAAATGTGAATTTTGTCATTTTGGAGCACACTAGCTTAGATAACACCAAACGCTCTATCAGATGCCAAAAGCAAACAACAAATGGTAATATACACTTGTGGTGTGCTTTAAAATCATGTAAAATCATGATGCTAACATTTGTCACCATACCAAAATCACAGATGGCCAGACGGTGATTTGTCTAATCTATAAAATATTGGTGTCCGGGATGCCATGAGCAGTGGGAGATCACCTTTAAGCTTATGAAATATGAATAAATAGACTCATAAATGGCTGTTGAGATATTCTCACTTCTCTTGGACCTGGATATGGTATTCCTTACAGCACAAGTTAAAAAGTGGAAGGGGAAGAGCACATTATTGTGACTTCCATGTAGTGTTCTCACTTCTCTTGGACCTGGATATGGTATTCCTTACAACGCAAGTTAACAAGTGGATGGGGAAGAGCAGATTATTGCGACTTCCATTTTTTATTAACAAATACTTAATATTCATAAGGCATATAGGCTATTTGCTTGATACTTGTACAATCAATACTTACTTTTTGGAAAATCCAGAATGAACTAGCACCCTGTCAACATGTCCCAATGTCAAGACAATGGGTGAATCCAGGGTGATTTGGACACCTTTTTGCCATTGAGATTACATGATGGAAAAGTGTCTCAATCAACCTGAATACGCCCTACCAAAAATAATCTAAAAGAGTCTCACAATGTGGATCACAAAATAAGTAGAAAAAACTCACACAAAGTTATCATATGAGTGTAGATCATTTCAACATTTTTCAAATGTAGGCTATAGGGGTACAAATTTGTGCGCCTGTGTCTCAAATTACTCATGATACACGCACGAATTATTATTGCTTCCACTAGGGGAGGCTATGGTAACGAATGGATTTACAGTTGAGAAGACTTACAGTTAAAATAGTGCATTTACTAGCGCTTCTGTACAAGATCAGATTATTTGGTCGTCATTTCAAATACTTCATATCAGTGCATTTTGTTTTTTTTATCAGGGGTTAAGAGCCGACACTGCATGAGAGCTGTTTTGATTCAACACTACAAGAATGATGTCTGGTAAGAGACGTTTTATTCTATCTTGAGAAGTTATCGATGACAGTTTCCATAATGCGTACATTTTAAGTGATTTTTCTTTTGACTCAATTCCGTTGCTAAAAGTATTTTTGAAGACAAATTTATTTATATAATATTTATATATTTATATTATGCACTTTTAGCTTATATGTGAACATTTTGGAAGACAAATTGCTCATGAGCTATATTTTTAGGCTACTGAAATTCTTATTTCGTTCAGGTCTATGTTTAATAGCCTATCTAAAGCTGTTCAGATAGAAGACCGCGGTGCTAACGATTAATGTTACAATTAGATACTATGTAGTGAACCTTTTATATATTGCGATATAAACAATATTTTTGAAAATAGATTTACAGGTTCACGTAATCAAGTTCACAGGCTTCTTCAAGCCGCCAAACTGTTTTGCAAAATTAGCTTTGCTTTTAAGATTGTGTTGAGTTATTCAGTTTCACGTCAGTCGAGAACTATGATTATTTTCAGAGGATTAATGAAACATCTGCTTTCCGGTTCAGGAACAAATATAAGAGAGACGGTGATTCTTACACCAACACGAGGCTGTCCACCTTTTGCAAAGTAGCCTACATGTTCCTGGATCAACATATTTTGTTGATCCTGGAACAACATTCCTATCTGAAAATTGTATCCTAATATCCCTACTCAAACCTAACTCTACCATTAGTTATCCCTAAAATCTAACCTAACTGTACCATTAGTTATCCCTAAAATCAGAGGGAAATGATTGGTGAAAAACACCTAACCCTGGTTTTAAGCCTAAACTTTAATTGTAAACTTGTCCCTCAAAACTGATTGGTTGATTGGAATGTAGTTCCAGGATCAAATAGATGTTGATTCAGGAACATGTTGTAGCTACTTGGTGAAATCATGTTCACCCTTCCTAAAACTAAGAGACCTCCCTACCTACAGCGTTTTTAGGCATTGCATTTTTGAAACCAGTCAGAGGTGCCCCAAAACGCTAAGGTTGTGAGACTGTGCTGTTTGCCTTAGAGCACATTCTACTGATTTATGATTCTGGTGGTGATACAGTCAATTAGGAGAGCTAAACAAATGTGAATGACAGCCCATTTCATAGCAGCACGTCTGACTCTCACCATTAATGAAAATCTCTGAATCAAGCATAGAAAGAAAAGGAAGAGCTCTCCTTTATGTGACAGCTGGATGTTATAGTGCTTTTGCTGAAAACCAGATGTAGCCATTCTTTTTTATTTATTTACATATAATTATTATTAACATTTAATTTGATGTTATTATGATTTTTTTCTTCAATTTCAGTCATGTCCCTCATATGAAAATCATGTGTTTTTCTTAATTCATGCAAAGACATCGGGAAACCGCAGTGCTCTTGTCCATATTTACATTGCCAGAGCAGTAATGATGGAATATGAAATATAAGATATGAAGTCCGAGCAGGGTTTTGCAGGGTTGGGAAGCCGGGATTGAGTTAAATTACTTTTCACATCGTGTCCACCTCAATTTATTAGGGATCCCCGAGAGGCAGTGCAGTCTTATTTACAAGGCAAAGAGACAGCTGAAAAGAGCAACAGATGTCTGGATTTTTAAAGCTTCTGCGTATGTTTTGGCACCATTTAGTGGCTTTAATGGATTTCACAGCACTATTTTCAAACTAGAATTAATGTTGAGAATTAATGTTGAAATATTGTTTTCTTGCATTATGATGATTTACTGATAGTTACATCATTTGCAGTCTTTTATGCAATATACACTGAAAAACTGCTGTCATTTGTAAAATTATTCAATTCACAGAATAAAAACAATATAGAAGTTGCATTTGATTTAAAGATCCTTGGTTATTAAACATGCCATTTGCCACAGCAGCTGTGTGTGTGCGTGTGGCTTTAAGTCTTTCTGTGATTTCCCCTATACTTATCGCCGTGGACCACTTAAAATGTCTCATTTGAATAATTAAAAGCTTCTCATCCTGTCTCAATAATGTTCAGAGGAAGTCTCCTAAAATCTTTACTAGAGCAAGTGTTATGGGAATATTTGTAAAGAGAACAAATAGGACGTCTATGTTAGTCTGCATCATGTTATTTTAATATGCGATGCTCCCAACTCGGTGTACTTCTGCATTCACTCTTATCTTTTTGTGCCAGATGAAATGGACTGTTATTTAGCAATTAACAGACGGCTATAAAATCCTTTTAACAGTGATTGAGACATGCTTTTCCCCTGCTGACTTTTATTCCAGGCCAGGGTGATCAATTGGATGGAGGATTGCATTAACGTGGGGAAAAAAATTGACTCTGGATTTCATTGTGACGCTTTTAATGGAAGGATACTGTTACAGATTAACACAGAAGAAATAATGTGTTGCAGTCAGCAGAGGAACATCATTATGTGGTTGAAGCCAAGAAAATTAAACAAGATACTTAATAAGAGAAAAGACCGTCAATAAAAGCTGGAACTGAATTGATCGTTTTTATATACAAAGTTTGCATACCTTCTTCAATGTTTTGAATATCAAACAGATTCTGCTTTCTTTCTCCTCCACCAATTTGATTTCTGCCTGTTCCTTCACATCTTATAAATATTCCCACCAAGAGGACTAATAATCATGCCAGAAAATGTGAGCTCCAGAATGGACACTCCCACCAACATCTCCCTGGTGGGGTCTGGGGACGCTGTGTCCGAGTCCCTGGAGTATAAGACTGTATCTGTGTTCCTGGTGCTGCTGGTGTGTGGAGTTGGCATAGTAGGAAACATCATGATCGTGCTGGTGGTTCTTACCACACGCCACATGCGTACACCCACCAACTGCTATCTGGTGAGCCTGGCAGTGGCGGACCTGATGGTTCTAGTGGCCGCGGGTCTGCCGAACATCTCTGAGAGCCTGATGGCCACCTGGGTGTACGGGCATGCTGGGTGCCTGGGCATCACCTACTTTCAGTACCTGGGCATTAATGCGTCCTCCTGTTCAATCACAGCTTTCACTGTAGAGAGGTAAGCCCTGAAATTAAAGGAAGTAACATCAAACTAAATGAAATTCTTTTGAATAAAAGGAAGATAATATGAATGCTCTAAGACAAAATGAATAATCATATTCTTTGTGGCTTATTACTGAAGCACCATGGGTATACAAACTAATTGACGAGTTAATTTCTTTTCTTTTTTTTTCTTTTTTTTTACCATGAAGAATTTCAGCATTTTAAATATCAATATTTAACCCTCTGGTGGTCTGAATTATTATTTTTTTGTTTGCAAAACTTGGTGACTTTTGACAACACAGTCTCATCCCAAAAAGTCATATAACTGACGTTTTGGGACGTCTTTTGACCATAAGTCAATATTCGCCTTTTTAGGGTACCCTTAAACGTCGGTAGATGGCGATCCCGGGTTACCTTTAACGTCAGTTAGGTGACGGGTTAGGTTTAGGTTTAGGTCTGGGGTAGAGTTAGGATCCCATAACCTCATCTACCGACGTTTAAGGGGGCCCTAAAAAGGCGAATATTGACGTATGGTCAAAAGACGTCCCAAAACGTCAGTTATATGACTTTTTGGGGTGAGACTGCACTGCTTTTGAAGCACTTGCTATGTGAACACAAACAATTGTGGACATGATTAGAAAAAGCTAAATGTAACACTTTACTTGAAGGGTGTGCATAAAACTGACATGACACCGTTATAATCATGACATGACACATTTCATGAATATGAAAGAGGTTTTATGCTGACAACAACTTGACATAAACCAATTATACATCATAACCTGTCAGAGTCTTTGTCGTGACAACTTGACATTACTAACAACACAACCTGTCATAAACATGACATAGCAGATTAATTATCAAATTTAAGAAACTACTTAGCTTTATTGGTTAACATTACATTAAACTGTCATGTGGTTGGTTTTGACATTGGCTGTCATGAAGCCATTATAACCTTTTAATGACAAATTCAGTTAGTACCACTGTAGTTGAGGTCACGAAAAATATTCATGACACAGTTATAATGGCCTCATGACAGCCAATGTCAAAGCCAACCACATGACAGTTAAACTTAATTTAATGTCAAGTTGTCATGACAAAGACACTGACCAGTCATGATGTATTGGTTTATGTCAAGGTGTCATAACAAAGACCTCTCAAACAATGTCATATTTGCATTCAAAATGTCATTACTGAGTGAAAGACACTTAATGACAGTTGTCACAAACATGCAAAAAACCTCCTTAATATTCATGACATATGTGATGTTATGATTATGAAGGTGTCATGTCAGTCTTATGCACACCCCTTCAAGTAAAGTGTTTCCAGCTAAATAAAATCACACATATGATCTGACTGCCATAAGAAAATTAATGGGAGATTACAGAGGAACAATACAGAGCCATTTTTTTTTTGGTGGGGGTGGGGGGTTCAATCTACAATCAGCCATGACGAAGTAGTCTTTGATTATGTCTATAAATATATATCCAAATGTAAAACATTCAAAAAATGAAGTCTGAAAAAACACTTAATAGCAACTAGGGAATACACAGCCCTTTATATTTAGAAGCATCTAAGTGGCTAGACTGGTATTACAAAAGATTTTCTTTATTTCTTCCATTAGACAGCACAAATCCACCTTCTATGTATTGGATTTTAAACACCTTTCCTTTATTTTAAACTTTTAACACTCGTTAATTGAAAATAGTATGACTTTTTATAATATTTGTGTTGTTTTATATAGAAATAATAATGCACTATATAGAGGTGAATTTTGTCCTCAAATACAAAATATTAAAGAATAAGTATTACTGAAACAAAATATAGCATGTTACATTATTGTCTTCGGTCTGTTTTGACCAGCGAGGATCACAAGTGTGACACCTAAAAGAGGAATAGGCCTACCAGAGGTTTAAATATTTTTAATACACATTACTATCTTTGTTTCACAGATACATCGCCATATGTCACCCAATGAGGGCTCATACGGTCTGTACGGTATCTCGAGCCAAACGCATCATTGCCGGGGTGTGGGTTTTCACCTGTGTCTACTGTATGCTCTGGCTCTTCCTGGTGGACATCCAGGTGAACCCTGACGGTCGTGTTCAGTGTGGCTACCGCGTCTCTCGAGACCTCTATCTGCCCATTTACCTTATCGACTTCGCCATCTTCTACGTTATCCCACTGCTTCTGGCCATTGCTCTTTACGGTCTCATCGCCCGAATCCTTTACCTGAATCCTCTGCCCCACCCACCAGACTCGGGCACCGTAACCGCCCCCACTCTCAGGAGGAGCTGCAAAGAACCGGTGGATGCTGGAAAACCAGGTCGTCAGGGACGGCCAAAGAGTGCGCTTTCTTCTCGGAAACAGGTCTGTATTTTACAATTCTGTATTTTAATAACCACTGAGATTGCAAAACCAGGGGTGGTTCTCTTCTCCTGTACTGTGCCTTGTGATTAGTATCTCATATTTGTTTTTTGAAAGGTCAGTTCTTTTTTTCTGAGAAGAATGTTTCACTCTACTAAATGTCAATTTGTGGGAAGAAGAGTGTGTTGAATGTTGATAGTTTCCTGGTGCAGTTTGAAAGAGTGTTTAACACATTTAATTGGCAAAAATTAGATCGTCAAGTCAAGAATTATTTTATATATATATTTTTGGGAATTTTAATTTGTTAAATACAAAGTGCCTATAAAAGAGAGACAATCATTTAAAACCTAGTTGCCATTGGTGGCCATCTTAAACTTAAAATATCATCACACAGAGCGCATGGCAGTGTTTCCTGCACACCACAAACAACACAGTGCAAGCCTTTGGCACGATTCACAAACATGATACCACATTTTATTTTTGATAATTCAGTCAAAATAATTCACTGCTTTGAATTCGCTCACGAATCAGAGGTTTGAACCAGATCTTTAGGAGTCGTTGTTAAAGGGTTAGTTCACTTTGAAATACATTTTTGATATGTTTTACCTTACCTCAAGGGCATCCAAGATGTAGGTGTCTTTGTTTCCACAGTATTTTCAATTTTGACATTTTTCGGTCAAACTGGTGTTGTCTGTTAGTCATATATTGCAGGTTTAGGGGGTCCACCTTAAAGAGCATGCACAGAGAAGTCAAATTAAACATGATTTAATGATTTAACAACTGAACCATGAGTCATTTTTCAGCATGTCCAATTCAAAATTAACCAGTGGATTCTTTACAAGACTTACACCAGTCTATTTATTGACTTGTTTATTTGACAATGCAGAGTTTTGTGCTGTGAATAAGGTCCAATTGTACATTTGAACTGAGCGTAAGAAAAACTCTGTTTCGGTAATATTGTATGTTGGAACAACACTCTTTCCTGATAGTATTAAAATGGAATTTTTACTAAATGTTTTCTAAATGATTTTTGTGTGTCTGAAAACTGTAGACAGCACAATAATATACCTTCTTTTGTGCAAACAAACTCATAGATGCAGACCAAACATCTGAGCTCATTTTTTTTTGTTATGTGAAAGGGTACATGATGGCTAATATCATCATAAAGCAGGTCATTAGGACCTATCTCATCAGAAGAGAGGCATTAGGGGCCATCGGGGTACAGTTTTGGGTCTACATTGCCATCACTGCATCAGCCACAGCTCTGTTGTGACACTGGAATAATGGGCTCTGTGATAGATCATAGACATTACAGATAGGATCTATGCATGCAAGTAATCAAACTGTTTTTTTGGTTTATTTTATGGGTTTAGTTTTAGTTGTCTACAATAACCCAGCATGGTAAACAGAGAAGTTTATGATAGTCTAGACTTCAGATAGACTAAATTCAGGCCATTCTATGGCCTTAAATGAACCTGTCAGTGTGGCATGCTATTCTTATACAGTATATCTCCATGTTATTTTCCAACTACCCTCAGTGTTATCTGAGATTGTATTATAGATGTTGTTGTTTTTTTGTTGATGTTGAATTAGTTTTAAAAAATCATTTTCATTTAGTCAAAGTTGTAATAATATATCGTTGTTTTTGGTTATTGGCTTTTGTAAATGTGGTTTTTATTTCTATTTTTAGTTATTTTAGTATATCAAGTTCAATTACATGAAAATGAGAAATGCTGCATTGGCAACTGTAGCTGAAATAAAATTAATGTACAGTTTTGTATATATTTTTATTTTATTTCAGTTAGCTTTTATTCAATTTTTTTTAAGTTAACTATAATAATCAGATATACATATACTTGTACTTATTGTAGTCCCCAGACTGATATTTCAGAGTTGGAGTGTCATGTCACCTTTATTTATATACTGTAGCGCTTTTTACAATACAGATTGTATCAAAGCATGCAGCTTCACAGTGATAACATGAAAATAATACAACAAAGTTGGTTTCTAGAAGAAAATTGCATCAACTTCCTGCTTAAGTAAGGTAGATCAATAATATTGTTGAATATTAAATGTTCCCAACTAAGCAAGCCATAAGCCAAACAGTGCCAAGGAACCCTTGAGACTCAATCAGAGGGCCAATTCTCCTCTGGTCAACGAAGGAACAGTGTATGATTCGGGCAGCATTACAAGTCAGATTGGATCGGAACATTTTGAGTATTTATCCATTTCCATCTGGTTGGAAGTCGAAGTTATCACGCCAATATGGAGACGAGTTGTTGAAGATCAGTGCTGGATACAGCCTGTATCTGGTGCACTGCGGTAAACTTTGGGATAAACAGAGAGACTAATATTAGTGTAGACACCATCCTTCTTATGATGTACCAAGTACATCAGGATTTACGGGACGTGTTCCCGGTTCCGGCTGATCTAAACTATGCAGCTTAACGTTGAATTATAGAAGTCTATAAATGGTATAATTTATTTCAAGAAAGGAACACAGTTGTGAGGATACTGCTTTTTCCAGTATCATTGACAGAAATGGCAGATTGGAGATTGGCCTGTAATTGACTAATTTTGTATGATCAAGTTGCGATTTTTTAACAAGCGGTTTTATCATAGCCAGCTTAAAGGTTTTTGGTATATATCTTAGAGACAAAGACGAATTAATGATATTGAGAAGAGGATCTATGACATCTCGAAGCATCTCTTTCAGTAGCTTAGTTGGTATAGGGTCAAACAAGTTGTTGATTTAGATGAATTAACACGTTTGTACAATTCTTCCCCTCTTATAGCAATGAATGAACCAAATTTTTCCTCAGGGAGACTAGAATGCACTGCCTGATGAGATACTGTAGTAGACGGTTGCATAGTTATAATTTTGTCCCTGATATTATCATTCTTATAAGTGAAGAAGTTCATAAAGTCATTACCGCTGTGTTGCTAGGACACTTCTGGGCTTGAAGCTTTCTTTTTCATTAGTTTAGCCACTGTTTCAAATAAATACCTAGGATTATGTTTATTTTCTTATAATAGGGTTGAAAAATAAGCAGATCTAGCAGCTTTTAAGGCATCTCTGTAAGCAATCGAGCTCTCCTTCCATGAAATTCGAAATACCTCTAGTTTATTTTTCTTCCAGTTGCGCTCCATTTTTCTGGCTGCTCTCTTAAAGGGATAGTTCACTTTGAAATTAATTTTTGATATGTTTTAGCTTACCTCAAGCCAGGACATCCAAGATATAGGTGTCTTTGTTTTCACAGTATTTTCAATTTTGACATTTTTCAGTCAAACCGTTGTTGTCTATCAGTCATACACTGAATGCTAAGGGGGTCCACCAAAAAGCATGCACAGAGAAGTAAAAATTAAACATGATTTAATGACTCGTAAATGTAAGTACACATTGATGGCCTAAGACACGAAACGAGCGGTTTGTGTGAGAAAACGAACAGTATTTATATTGTTTTTACCTCGTGTAATCCAAGTGATCTGAATCAGTTGTGCAATGTCCAACTGAACCGAACTGAATCAGTTCAATGTTATGCCGGAAGCGATCGCTTGCGTGTGACATCACTCAATATTTACACGGAGATTTCGGAAGTTTTACCTTTTACTAAACATTTATATATACCGAAATAGTCTTCCATTGTGTTTCCCGTATATCTAAATATGTTTAGTGAAAGGTAAAACTTCCGAAATCTCTGTATAAACAAAGAGTGACGTAGGCACGCAAGCGATCATGCGCAGACCGAAGCGCCCGTGCCGTCAGATCATTTTGTCATGGCTATGATTACAAGATGTAAATACTGTTCGTTTTCTCACACAAACCGCTCGTTTCGTGTCTTAGGCCATCAATGTGTACTTACATTTACGAGTGATTAAATCATGTTTAATTTTGACTTCTCTGTGCATGCTTTTTGGTGGACCCCCTTAGCCTCCAGTGTATGAGTGATAGACAAGAATGGTTTGACTGAAAAATGTCAAAATTGAAAATACTGTGGAAACAAAGACACCTAAATCTTGGATGCCCTTGAGGTAAGCTAAAACATATCAAAAATTAATTTTTGTAAAGATTAATTGTAAAGATTATTGATAAAGCCATCTTTAGTGGCAGAAGTTATAGGTCTAACATATTCATAACACGGAGTCGGCTTTGCTGCTTTGGCTCAGTGAAGTTTACATGAGACTAGATAATGATCTGAGATGTCATTGCTCTGCTGCAGAATTTTAACGGCATCAACATCTATTCCATATAATAGTATTAGATCTAGAGTATGATTACAGGAATGAGTAGTTCTTGACACGTGTTGTCTAACTCTAATTGAGTTTACAATGTCTTTAAATGCCAATCCCAATGCATCTTTTTCATTATCTACATGTATATTCAAATCAGCAACAATTGGTACTTTATCTGCAGCCAATACTAATTCTGATCCGCAAATTATTTGATAAAATCTTTATGGTGCACTGGTGGCCTGTATACACAAGCCAGCATTAAGCACCAATACTTCAAAAAAAAGTATAGAGGGAATGCATTGACACATGACTTTCCCGCGTGACAACCCCCCTCAGCCTGACCGAGTGGCAAAAGATCTGCTGCGTGACTGGATTCAATAGGGGAAAACTGCGGAAATGCGACTAAATCGAACAATTTTATCAATTTAAACTAAATGTTGGACTCAATATAGTGTTCCTTACAACTTACTAAAGATCCAGTGATCCATGGATATTGACATGCAGCCAGGAATCGTTTTGCCTGACATTTATTGCCTGATTTCGACACTGGGGAAATAAAAGCAAGACCTAAACATAAAGCAAATTTCCTGTGAACGCTTTATATAAATATAATATAGGTAGGTCTAAATCCGGGTGATCACTTATATCAGTGTTATATCCTATATATACCATATCGTCCAGCTCTAAAACTTTATACGTTTTTTGGTCAGTGTTTATTAAAAAAAACATCCAATAATGCAGAATATGCAATGATAAGTATTTAATTGATGAGCTGTTAATGTAACAATACAAAATATGCGGGTATGGTTTTACAGCTAAATTCAGCATATTGACACAAAATGATAACTGCAAATCCACCTTTGGCTGACTGGAGTCCAGTTGTTTCTGTGAATTGCAGCGATCCATTTGCTCCTCTTTCCATAGCAGTCTGTAAAAATATACCTCCGATGTTTTGTCAAATCTAGTTGTAGGCCTTACAGTCAATCGCAAAGCTCTTTCCCACTTTATTTGTGTGTGTTGTGTTTGTTTTTCGCGGTATTAACACTGAACACATATACAGCCGCTCAGTCTTTTTGCCACTCACTGTGAGGAACGGTGACGTCACGCGCATTCCCTCTATATTTAAAACTAGATCTCTTAGTGGTCAAACAGGTGAAAATTCAGAACATTCGTGACCCTCCGTGTACGTGTCCCCGCGAGTGAGTGCACTTATGTGGAGATGCTCGCGTGCGCCTCAGATCAAAATCTTGAAGATTCAAGAGGGCCCCACTCGAGTGGAACATTTGCATAAATACGATTTGTGATGTTCACTCAAGTATGCTTAATACTCCTAGAGATTATGCTCTTTGAGGTTATAAGAGCGGCTCCCTTTCTTTCGCTTTTGTACCTCATTTATGCCGCACCTCAAGCCCTTTGATCACTTCATCTGCACATTTCATAAAGTTCAATACGATTCAAGAAGCCCGTGCCACCGCTGTGGTTGAGTGAAGTTATCTCTCCTATGAATCTGATAAAGTCATCACTACTGCAGAGGCTCCCCTTTATTTAACCTAATCATGAGTAGCAGCTGGCTTTGTTTGTGCTGTGTTAAGACCTTGTTTTCCATTGATAAGCAATCACAATAACCAGATATTCCAAATACATATTCAAATTGTCACTGCCAGTCATGCAGTCATTATCTCCTGCTTTGTTAATTAAAGGAGCTTCTCCCAGCCTCACACAGCTTCACTTAGATGCTTTGTTGTGCAGACAATTTTGTCATTATTATTGAAGGTCTCCGTCACCGGTTGTCTATCTCCAGCGTGAGACAATGAGTACGCTCCAACCCCTGAGGACTCCCTGTGAATGTTAATGGGAGGAATTTTTGGATTTATTTGTCGCTTGAACTAAGGCTTTGACAGTCAAAACATGGTGTGGATATATTTACATCCTTCTCAAAGTGTCTGTTAACTGTCACTGACATAAAGATTATGTTTGACTGATGTTTGACTGTGTCTCCGTCTCGTTGTCTCTCTCTCTCTCTAGTCTAGCTCATTCTTTCTACCGATCCCTCTGTTTTTATACCATGAACAATAATGTAATTGTTTCTTTTTGAGCTCTAGAAGATAAGGATGAATTAATTTTAAAATGTAATTCAAAGCACTCACGCCACCAGGGTACCGCCATACCGAGCCGTACCGTACCGTGCCGTACCATACCATGCAGTGGAAAAGCACCATAATGCTACCAAAGCAGCATTTATTTAAATAAATGCACGAAAAACAATAATTATGTGAAATATATATTTTTAAATATAATGATTGTCCAGCATCTTTAGTCCAGTCTTCAGTATCACATGATCCTTCAGAAATCATTCTAATATGCTGATTTGGTGCTTGCACTGATTAATGTCCGTTGTGGAAAACCATGATGAATAGAAAGTTTAAATGAACAGCATTTATTTTCTGACTTCAAACTTTTGAACTGTAGTGTAAAAAGAATAGAAAAAAAATAGAACAGAATAAAAATGGCTGAAACATAGCTATAATTATTCTTTTTCTGCATTTTGTCTGTCACAGTTCAAAAAACAGTCTGTCAAATGTCACTGTAACTTGTTACAAAAACATTATTATTCAAGATTCATATCATTAAAACGAACTATTCAAAAGACTAAGGTTAAATTGGCGCATGAACATCTTTTCACACTATTAACAACGTCCTGTTAATGGCATAAAAAACAGCTTGCAAAAAAAATAGTACAGTTTGTGTCCACGAGGAACATGCTTGACTTTCTGTAAAGGGAGTCTTCTGAATTTATAATCTTTGAATAATCATAAGGTGTTAAAGGGATTGTTCACATTTTTGGGAGGACGATCCTTTTAATACCTTTTGATAACTCCTAGGAATTCTGTCATCATTTACTCACCCTCAAGTTGCTCAAGTTGTGTCTTCTGCTGAACTTGAAAGAAGATATTTTGAAGAATATGGGAAACCAAACAGTTGATAGACCCTAGTGACTTCCATATGAAAAAAAATACTATAGGGCACATAAAGTCAATGGTTAAAAAAAAATCATGTGTTTGGTTACCGACATTCTTCAAAATATACATTGTTTGTGTTCATTAGAAGAATGAAATTCATACAGGTTTGTAACGATCTGAGGATGAGTAAATGATGATCGAATTTTAATTTTTGTGTGAACTCACGTTTATTTCTGTATATGCGATTATATATAGAAACTTTCATAATTTAATATAAGAACCACTTTTATAATTTCTCACCTCTTCAGGTCACTAAGATGCTGGCAGTGGTGGTTGTGCTCTTCGCCCTGCTGTGGATGCCGTACAGGACCCTGGTTCTAATTAACTCCTTTGTGAGCACACCATACCTGGACGCCTGGTTCCTGCTCTTCTGCAGGACCTGCATCTACGCCAACAGCGCGATCAACCCTGTCGTTTACAACCTGATGTCACAGAAGTTTCGATCGGCCTTCCGCGGGCTGTACCGCTGCCGTAGGGAAGACGTGCACCAGCGGACACTCTCCATGCTCCAGAGCGGACACAGCCTAGGAAGAGACCCTCGAATTTGCAGCAACACCAACGGCACCAGAGACACACCTAAAAAAATCAGTTCAGTCACTCCTGAGCTGAAACAACACAAAGGCATGGAGAACAAGAAAAACATGGACAAGCTAATTAGCGATGGTGTAAGAAATGAGATCGATCCAAACATCAACAAAAATGCAGTTGAAAACTGCAAGATAGATGAATTGAAAACCTCAGTAGTCAAGGAGATGCCTACAGTGGAGAACGTGGACATGAGCAAGATTGATGATAATGGGAAAATAATGAAGGGAAGCGCTAATACTACTCAGGATATTATCGCTGACATGAACAACACAGAGCAGACACAGCTAGCCTGCGGTCAGGTCCAATCCACTCTGGGGGAGGCTGAACAGAATGACACTGAGCTAAATCACAGCACTGTATAGAATAGATCAATCCACTATATTTCTATAAACAGTTGTTGTTCATTGAGCCTGGTTGTTCATTTCAAAACAAGATCTTGAATTTGGGATCTTTTTTTGGATGTACTAACAGGCATCATCCTCTCTCTCAAGTGGAGGTGGCAAGACTGTAGCCACTCAAGTGAAACCATTTGGCTGTCAGCACCAGCTTCACATACCTCCTACTAGTGCTATTGTTCCAACTAGAGTTACTTGATAAAAAAAAAACATCGACCTATTATTTTGATCTCACATTGCTGCTGCTTAGAAATGTAGATAAAAAAGGCTGGAATCTGCTACATGGCTTTTAGATTTTATGCATTAAACACCAATTTTGTAAATGGTTACAGTGGAAAACCTGACCATCATACACTAGACAACTGAGGATCACACACAGTTGTGCTTTCGTGAGATCTGTGGAGTGTGGAGGTTCGAATGTTAGATGAGCTCGGTTGCCTCAGTAGAGCCGTGTCATGGGTGATAGCACTGCGCTAGGCTAACACTAGGCTACGCTACGCTAGCTGTGTTCTGCCACTGCGCTTTCAAGTTGTTCCGAACACAGAAGTCCTGCAGAAACATGCTCATCATTGCTAGGAGACACATAACAGATGGAAACAATATGTTTCTTCTGATAGACTGGATAGAATCATAATCTAAAGCAACATACATAAATAAATAAAAAGAAATCTGAGCCTAAGTGATTCTATGTGAAATCTGGGAAATCAAACTGCCCAAAATCTGCAGACTGGCTATGATATTCAGCAAGCTTTAACTCTTCCAGAATGCAAATCTGGGCAAAAGTTGTGTAGTGTATTCCAGCCTTGAACTGTTGCTCCTAGACAGCAATGAGGTTACAGTGAAAGCAAGTTTTGATGAAAGAGATAGTCTACTCAAAAATTGTAATTATTTATTACCCTCATGTTGTTCCAAACATGTATGACTTTCTTACTTCTGCGAAACACAAAAGAAGATATTTTACGGTTGTTTTTTTTAAAAATTATTATTCAGTTATATTCCATACAATGAAAGTCAATGGGGTCCAAAATAGCAAATTTCAAAGTAGGCCTATAACCTAAAAAAGACACACAAAAAACACACACAAAAGAAAAGTCTGCTGCAAATATAAATAATTACTCTTTAAAGTCAGTATGAAATGCATCTTATTGTGATTGATTCCTACAGTTTTTGTGAAACTGACTATCAAAATGTCACATCTCAATCCTCCGATGAAATGAGACTTCTCTTTTCTTCCAATCGACTGCAAGATTGCGTTCAGATCTACCTTCGCCCAATCAACAACCAACATTTTTCCATTTTCGATAATCGCTTGGATGTACTTCACAATATGGAAGAAATGAAATGCCACTACTTCTGTTGCAACTTGAAGGATGTTCACACTTTAGTCCTCAACTTTCAGTTGACCCAAAAGTGAACTGAGTGAAAAAAGACTACACACAAAACATTTAGGCTCATTCACTTTGACACTTCAAACTACATATTTAATTAAATCGCTGCATTTCAATAATCACACAAGGCCATGTTCGCAATTTGGACTTGAATTTAATTAGTTGTGCAGCCTTAGCTCCAGGATGTGTCCTCTCTCAACACAAAACCCACTTTTTTGCCCACTTTGTGTCTTCAAGCACAGCAGAATGAGAAACAAACAAACTCCATCCTGCTTTTAAAGCACAGACGCTTTCCCATAAAAACATTCAGGATGCTACAGGGCATAAGATCCATTTAAAATGCTTTCGTCCAACAATAAGGCCCAAAGCATCATGACACATTTGTGTTTTCCCACAGCCAACACAAGACATTTGCCATCGCTGGATGAATTCCATAGTATGTGGAGATGTAATGCCTCGCCATTTGTTCCTGCCCAAGTAAACAGATCCGATTCTGTGTGCCCAGCGGTACGTCTGAGCTTTTTAGACCCCTTTTACAACCTCGTGGAAGATGAGCAGAGTCACGCATCCATTTGTCAGGTGCAGTTATTCATCTTTATATGTGGAGCGCAAGGAACAGCTCTCACACAGAACAGAGACGATGTTTTCTATTGGCGCAAGCAGACGGTTGTAACCATAACTCATCCATAAACAGAACATATCCTTCCTGGAGGAGAACCGTGGAGCTGGAGAGTATTCTCAAAGCACTTTGTTGTTTAGCAAGCGCAATCACCTCATGTTTATGCAGAGACATTTAATACTAAACAATGGTGTGATTATCTGTTATAATTCATCATTTTCTGGCTGTGTCATGACTTTGTAAGTCATTTTAGTTTAAATGTGGACCCGTTGCTATTTTAGTGAGGTGTTTTGTTGTTGCTCTGGAGAAGAATGCATCTCCTCACTTCAGATCATTTGAATACAGTTTAATTATTTTATATTATATATATATATATATTAGGATATATTCTTTATATCATTAGTGTAAAGAGACATTTGAAAGAACAAACATTGCCTATAGCCTACGAGATTTTAGACAATGTTTGTCTCTTTACCATGATGTTTCGCAATTGTGGATTGCTGCGATCTTGTTTCTGTGCCAGGAGTGGACTTCTTCTGCAGGCTGATTCTGCATTCATGCTATGTTGTAATTACCGTAAATAAGAGATGAAAACATCTGATTCTGTACTTCAAGCTTTTCATGTCCTCTTGCACTATTAAAGGGATAGTTCTGTCATAATTCTGTTAGTAATCATGTCGTTCCAAACTTTCTTTCATCTTCTGAACACAAATGAAGATCTTTTTGACGAAATCTGAGAGCTTTCTGTCCCTCCATTGACAGCTACACAAGAATTAGAACTAATCCATATGAATTGAGCGGTTAAGTCCAAATTTTCTGAAGGGAATATCGCGAACGCTTTATATGATGAACAGACTGATTTTAGGAACTTTATACAGTAAAGCGTAGTTATGATTAACAGAAGCGCAAGCATGTTAGCTTGATGCTCGAGAACCAATGAGGTTTGTTCCCGCGCGTCAAGCAGGTTCAATTGAGCTTCTGTTTATGTTCACTGATCAATGTATATGCTAATAAAGCCTAAATTCAATCTGTTCATCATATAAAGCGATCAAGTCTCTTCAGAAAATTTGGACTAAACTGCTCAATTCGACACATTCTCATCCTTTGGCGTCATATAGGTGACGCCATATGACATTTCATCGAAATACTACGCACATGGCAGACTTTAGCGTCAATATTACACACACTGTTATGGGTAGGTTTAGGTCTGGGGTAGGGTCTGCGTGTTATATTGACGCTAAATGGTGCCATGTGCTTATTATTTCTACGAAATGTCACCTATCTGACGCCAAAGGATGAGAACGGGCTCAGATTAGTTTGACGATCTCTTTATGGACTTTTTGAAGCGTCTTAGTGGTAGTTGTGTAGCTGTCAATGGAGGGACAGAAAGCTCTCAGATTTCATCAAAAAGATCTTTATTTGTGTTTCCGAAAATCAACAAACGTTTTGTTAATTGCTTGGAAGGACATGAGGGCGAGTAATGACAGAATTTTCATTTTGGGGTGAACTAACCCTTTAACTTCACAATAAATCTGCAGTGGACACGTGGTAAGTCATGTCTCTCAGAAAATTAAGAGTCTTGTAATTACGAGTTCTGCAATCACGTGACTGCTTTTTACAAGTCAGTATAGTAATTAATTATACAATACTAATCAGTATAATTATGTCATGGTGTGAACACACCTCGCTTCATTTGGTGTTGCCTAAGAAGTCATTTCCATTTTATGAGCCTAGAAAGCTTATTATCAGCTTCTATTTATAAATAATCTATTTTGAAACCCATGGTTGATATTGTGTTGTTATTGCAATGTGAAGCTTCTATTTGCTTTTGAACCCGTTCTGTGTTTGCTCAGACTGTGGTTGCGCGTTAAAATCAGAGTAATGTGCAAGTGATCTGTGAGCATGTTCAGTTTTCTGCTTATTTTTAAAAACAGATAAAAACATACAAATGAAATCTTACTACTTTCTGGTTTCATGTGAGAATTAAAGCTGGATACAAGTGCAGAATTTTAATGAGTTGTTGATTTATTCGTGTTGAAGCTGCCACATGTCCTGAAGGGGGGGGGTGAATTACTGGTTGCCGAAAGTAATGATAATTTTACATTGCATGAGATCTTGAGCAGTCAATAGCAGGACTGCACTCTGAAGTAAATGAGCCAATAACATCAGCCCATACAGTAGGTGTAAAAATGCACATATGGGTCAATGACAAATATAAAAATGAGGATGAAAAAAAATCTTTGTAAAATCATACATTTTTCATACATTCGTTATGACAATGAAAATATCAAAATATTTATTTTAATAAAATGGTTAAAAAATTAGGGGAAAAAAGTATTATGACCTTCTATAGTGAGTCTAATTTTATATTTTTCTTGTCACGTGACCACAAAATAACCCTCTACTACAATCTGACTGATTTAGAGGAATAAGATTTTCACTGTTAAAAAGTGATCAGTTGGTTTAACTTAAAAAAAGTGAAAAGACCCGTTGCCTTAAAATGATTAAGTAAATAAACAATGCGTAATTCAAGAAATACGTTATGTGGAATTATCAAGTTCACATGCAAAAATGCATGCAATTTATTTACGGGTTTCCTCAGACTGGTCACATTTTACAGTGTTTAGATATTGATGACATTTCAAACAACCAAACTTTCCTGTTTTGAAAAATGTTCAATTTCAGGCTGCTTACGTCATCAAGATATTTTTAAAATTGAAGTTGAGAAGGTTATTCAAACATGTACATCATTCAAGAGGCGCATTTTTATTCGAATTTAATACAATAACAGGACTGACCGAGTGCCCCATGTAGAATAATAGTTCTTCATGTAGTTCTTTTCTAAAACATTTGTATAGTTTTCTTGCATTCTCTGTCAGTGCACTTGAAGTGTGGTGTTTATCTTTGCGGGACATGAGCTATTGGCTGTGTAGTTTTCTCTTAAAGGTCAGCACACATAGCCACACTCAAACACAAATACTCTTAAATGTGTCGCACTCTCCCTTGACCAATCGGTATGCAAAAGAGGCATATTCTAACACGTCTATAAGGTAAAAATAGCGACCTTATGATAATGTTTGGCTCAACATGGAAAGCATTGCAGGTAGCTTGGCAGCTGGTTGCTAAGGTTACATTCTTTTTCACTTCACTTTTCCCTGATTAGATTGAAGGATTGTAGCCGGGGAAGATAAGACGCTCCTGAGAATGGATTTCCGGCCAGGTGCAGTGGTGCCAATCCTAGTGTTGATAAGCCATCTTTTCAAAACTGAGGTGTCATTCAACAAGATGAGGCTGCCGACAGAGTCGTGTTCGTCAGCGGCCCTCGCTTTTCTGCCATGTGCCCTTGGCCTTCAAAACGCACAATATTAAAAACTTAATAACACATATCCATTATGCGGGTTAGATCTAAATCGTTTTTTTTTCTTTCTGTGCCATCTTTTGTTCATTCGGTCTGTATGAATCACCCACTTATGAGTAACTGTCAAAAGTAATTTCCATAGAGAGCTGAAAACAGATTTTCTCTCTAAGAGAGAGTGGCGGGCAAGCACGCCGAAGTGTTGTGCCTTGACGGAAAAGATGGACAGATAAAATTAGATGAGTTCCTCAGAACGGGAAACAGAAACACTTCATCAGATTTGCTTATCACCATCTTCCTCTCATTTCAGCTCTCTCTTCTTTTCTCTCTCTCTCCGATGGCATCGGTTCACAGATCCAGCTGATGTCAGATGCCCGTGAATGAATCCTTTCATCACTGAAAGCCACTGTTCAAGACAAATACTTGCTCTTTCAAGATTGTCAGAGTCCAAAGATGAATTAAGATGAGTCAAAAGTTCCAATCAAAAGGTATATAATAAAAGAATAAACTTCTCAGATAATGAGACTAACTCCATCACAGTGTAACAGAATGTCTACACACAAGCAATAGCCGGCAAAGAACAGAGAAAA